AAAAGGCGCAAACGAAGGTATCAGAAACAATGAAAGAAAGCTGTAGTGTTGTGTGTACATTCACATTTTCGAATAGTAGCTTCGAATAATAGGCTATTCGATATTCGCTTCGCGATGAACTCTGATATTCGTATTTTTCAAAGTGTTGACCGCGGCGGGTTTACCCCAGAGCCGTGTATAAAGAATTTGGTCAACGGGAGGCGCGGGCAGCGCCAAGGCGTGCACCAGACGCAGAAAGTGGGCTTGAGATGCTCTAATTTGGCCAACCAGAAGCCTAAAAGAATACCCTAACGGTGGTAGCGAGAAATTGTTTTAATCAAAGGTATATGTTAGTATTTGGTTTTAATAAGTGCGTAAGAGTGAAGTGTAGTCACATTTTATGGTTGAATATTGGGGAGGAGGAGCGATCGTGACGCCCCAAGCGGTTAACTTTAGAATTACACGGATAGGGACAACAAATACAATGACTCAGCGCTCGGCCGACATAACCGAACGTGGCGTCAGCGTTCGGCTGGAGTTCGTGTTCTCCGGTGAGGGGGAGGAGGGGCTTTTTTATTTCCACTCAGGCCTGCATGAACAATGCAGCATGCACGGTCCCAGCTCAGCACAAAAGCCGAAGTGGGTCAAGCTCGCATTCTCTGAGGATAGATCCGGCACTTAACGTCGCTTCGTCGATTGTTAGCATTTTTTATATTAAACTGCGCCCTGCGCTCTATTGTAGAAGATGACATGGACGTGCCTATAAGGCCTGTGGGCATGTGCACAGGCCTTGTGTTGAGTAAACACTGAGGTGTGGGGAAAAAAACGGGTCACAGCGCCCCCTGTAGTTCGATCTCCTGCCCAATAGGGTGCACGTGATGTTTCGATCATTATCATGCACAAAGATGCAAGAAACGAATGTGCTGCTGAACTCTGTTTTGCTCGGACAGAGCGTGACCGCTCGGACGGCGATTCCCGGCCTTCGGCGCTTGGAGTACGGATTATGTCGATCGTTCCGCTAGTCGCACTCATCCACCATGACTTCGGATGACCGTGATTGAAACATCACATACACCATATTTTCAGTCACCGAGAGTTACTCCGACGCACTTATTAAGTTTGTTTCTGGCGACCACCACCAGGGTATTTTCAGCTTCTGGTTGGCCACATTCGAATTTCTGAAGACGCCCTGGAACACGCCCAGCACTCTTTCGGCCAATGGCGCCTCCTCATTCATCTCCTATACTTCCCAATGAATGACCAAACTCTACATATACGGCTCTGGTTTACCCCGTTGACCGCGCTTCTTGCCGAGCACCGGTGCACTGCGGAGAAGACACACCCGTGGAGCTCGCTTCCGCGGGTGTTGCTTGTCCGCAATGCACCGGTGCTCCGTAAGAAGCACGCTCAACGGGGCTAACCCGCCGCGATCAACACTTCGAAAAGTACAAATATTGTGAAGAGAAAACCGCACTTTCAAAGCGGGATGGTGCCCGCGCGCGCGTGGTGTGTCTAAAGAGAAACGGCAACTTCGTGAACGTTTATATACACTACAGTAAAGTTTTCAGAATTAAACTGTGGCTATTATGCAAAAGTATACAAGAATAATAGCCTGACTTGCTCCAAACGATTAACGAACTTGTTCTTTTGGTTTCGTCTTCCTAAAATGCACCAAAATATTTTTTAACATTGGCTGAATTATTGTGAAACACCCTTGTATGTTAGGCAGAGATGTCCTGACAACCTACGTTCATTGTTCATTAATATCTTCTATTATTTTCTGAAATCTTATATTTAATGAAGAATATTTATATGCAGCAAGAAGATTTATAAATCCAATTGATTAGGTTTAGCTGGGTATCTCCAAATTTAATTTCATGTCGAATGCATCGCTTATTTGCCGTTCCCACGAAGGCAATGAACTGTCAGAGGTCACAATCCATAAATTTAGCTAGACTAAAATTAGCATAGCTTAGATATGGACAAGTGGAAGCTTGGGAGAAACTTTTACATGATGCAGTAGTGATAAGCTCGGATAAACTATTCAATATTTGAATAGAGAATACTAGGCCACAGCCACTATTTGCTTCGAACTGAAAATCGACTATTCGCATCCTAGAAAAATGCATCGAAACGCCGGTTCTTTTGGCATATTATTCATTGTACATTTTCATCAGAAGAACTACTATTCGTAGTTTTCTGCTTCATGTCGGCGTAACTGAAAAAAAAAGAAAAAAATATTCTGCGTTCTCGTGTATATTGTGCCTAGTGATCTGATCTGATCTACCATTTTTATTGTTCTTCTGCCCTGCGTGAAACACGAAAAGTTCCATGCGCTTTGATTTATGTCTGGTGAGTTATCGGGGTCGCACCTGTTTGATAATGTCATAAATAGTCAATATAATACACTTAAAAATAAAGTTAATTTATTTGTCCAGCTTACATTTCGTTTTTGCATTTTTGCTCTAGTTTATAATTTTTCTATTTAAATGCGTATTTAGGCTTTGCTATTTACTATTTCCTCGTTTATATTATTCAGTCGAATTTCCGACCTCCGAGACTGCAACAGGTCTCCAATCCGGCCCCCTAGCCTAAACGTTTCTAGACCCCTGGCGTATAGGTGTCCACGACATATACTACCCTGGTCTACGAAAATGTAATGCATCTGTAAGCCAGATATTTCTGGACATTTCGAACCCTCTCAAAATAGTTCGAGGTACAGAGCCTCGACTAATCGTCCGTTTCATTAGGTCGTTCCCTAGCTCAGATCAAGATATCGGATAACGGCGCGAAGCACGCGCAAGGGCGCCGGTCGGAGTATCGGGCAACGTTATCGGGATGAAAAAACAAATCCTTTTTTTTTCTGAACCTACTTAATGCTGAATTATTTTCCACGTTCATCTATTGAAACAAAAGCACACTCTCACTGGTACTGCTCTCTAATTTAAGGGAAAAAATTCACATAATAAAGTACGGGTGCGCAAATAGTGGTTCCAATCGTTTAGCGATGCATCATTCATATATCCTTCCCAGTGCACAGCGAAGTCGCGGCTAGCGGGTGACAGCGCTATTCGAGTCGAACAACTATTCACACACCTCTATAAAAAAAAAAAAAAAAAAAAAGCAGACGCGATTTTAGCGCGGCGTAGATACGTTCAGTGAGTCGGCTTCCAGCGAGCTGCGTACAGTTATTCATTGCCGTCTAGTTGAGTAGTGATAAACGCTAGGCAAGCGCTGATTACCAGTCTTGCTCTTCGCAACTAACCGAGATTGTGGGGCGTTTTATCAATCTCGGCTTGCCGCAGCTATGCTTGACCACAGATTGACGTCGGTATCGACGAATGCCCCCACGCACAGATCCCACCTGCCTTAGATCTCAGACTCAAGTGACTCTTCCTCGACACAAATATTACCATTGTTCAACATCTTCACGTCATTCCCAGAAATAAGAGTGGGAAAAATGTTGTCATAACAAAGCCATTCGTCGACATGTTGATCACGAGTTGAGCGGTGTGAAGCGCAGACCGCATGGCGCGTTTTTCTGCACGCGGAAACGCGACGCGCTATGAATGCTCGCGCGGAAGCTGACGCGGGGGCACCCGCATGCAGACAAAGCCAAGCACCGCCGGCCGCGCGTTATCAGCGTTGCCAGATAACAGAATTCTTAACACGCGATGTAAGTGTTGACGCAAATACTACAAAATGAGAATTAAATGAACAAATAAGTAAATAAAACGGGTTCGTGTGTCAAAAGAACACCTTTTCAATTTTTATATGGAAATTAAAAATGCTTTTGAACACTTTGAAATGTGCTGAATACGAAACAGCGTACTGTGCAGGATCATGTGATAGTTCGACCGACCCTGATTGGGCGAGAGCCGCTTCGACGCCTCGGCGCGCGCGTCTTGTTCTGGGTCGGCTAGAAACCAACGCTCCCGCGAAAACGCGCGCCCGCGCGCAGGAAATGACGTCAGTTTGACGCCGACGCGCCTGAATCGCGAGCAAAAACGCGCCATGCGGTCTGCGCTTTAGTTTGTTTTCACGGGAAACGAATACAAGGCGACAGATTTACGCTTTGTAGGTAGACAATGTTTCCCGGAAAGGAGCGTTTGTTCGGGAACCATCTCGCATATTTGGAAAGTTGAGTGCACTCGTGGATAGCAGACCCTGCGTATAGTTGCCCATCGACCCTCGACAAAAATTAATGTCCCGTTTCAATACAGCCTCAGATTGTGCGGGCGACGTCAAAGCTAAACGGGCGAGCAAGTTGCCTTCAAGGATGCGGGCACCTCACCAGCGCAGGTACCGTACCTGTACTTTCACCCGAACATAGAGTAGTGGATTTACGTTTGCTGAAAGTGTTGCAGGACAGCACGAATACGGAATATTCTTGAAACAATTAAAAAAAAAAAAAAAAAAAGCAAGACAGTAAACGAAGAGGAACATGAAAACAATTTTCCTTTCCCACGAACACTATAAATATGACATGTTGCGCGCTTTAGCTTGAATTCGCTTTGTAGCGTCATGAATTTAAAAAGACCTCCAGATATTCGCGAGTCATAGTAAGGTGCCTCCAATGTAACAGTTCGGCACTCAACTTGAGAGTTTGTCAAAGCAAATGGAATGAAGCCGACCTAATTCCCACTGCCGTGAAGCTCTAATGTGCGAGACGACATTTTATTCGCGTCTTGTGGGCGCAAATGATGACATACAACGGAAGGACTACGGCAAGTTCAACTGGGCCAGGGCTACTTCGAAGATAAGCAGAAAAAAGAGCAACATATATGCAAAATTGATGAACCGCTTGGAAAAAAGGCTCATTGACAAAGGAACGCCCCACTCATCGAGAACTCGGGTCTCGTACATCGTACGGAAAAAAATGATGGCGTGTTAGACGTCGCGAAGTCTGACCGCCAAGACTGTAGACGCCCGTTGGCATGTGCATAGTGCACACGCCATTTAGTTACGCTGGAACGATACAAGCAAGAAAGAAAAAAAAAAAGAAAAGACGAGCCACTTACAACTGGAAGGCCGCAGAGACGTTCGTACCCGGTCCGGAAAAACACACGGCATAGCAGAGCGCCGAGAGCGCCGATAAGTTAGAGATAAGCCGTAATCAAGCGCTGACGCCTGGTGAACGATCGGAGTACTATCTTTTCACTAGAAACGTGGCGAGCAATACGTCGCGGCAGCGTTGTCGTCGAAAGAAACGAACATTCCGCGAGGTCATCGTTCGTTTTCATTGTCATCGCGAATCAGCTCCGATCGCACGCGGAGCTTCTGCTTCGTTGTGCGTCGGACTTCACTTGACGTGACGCAATTTTAGTTGGTAGAAAGTAGGGGTGTTTGCGAACGTTGTTTTGAATCAATGAGTGCAGCGTCATTCCTAGGTTCAGCACCGTAAGAACAGTCAACATATCAGCGAGAGACACATATGAATGACGCAGCGCTATCCGATTCGAACCACTATGCTTGGGGGCAACGTCCTAGATTGAGCGCCGATTCCAGTTGTGCGCACGCGTGCTTTTCTTCTCCTCGGAAATAAAACAAATAATTGCCCCCCCCCCCCCCCCCCCCCCCCATGTTATCGCCGACCCCTACGACCACAGAAAACTAGGGAGCCTTCATGTGCGCTTTGCTAGGGTGATGCCATCCTTTGTAATACCACTCGCCGACAAACCAGCAGCCATTTTGTTCCTCGGCGATAATCCGTGGGGCTTATAACCCTCCCGGAAACAAGCACCTTATCTCAGAAGCTCGGAGCAGCGTTGTGGAACCCACGGAGGGAGGATTAGCATTTTCCCCCTCGGATGGGATTACCGATGGACACAAAGGCCACTTTTCGGCGCGCGGGGAAACAATGAGAGAAACAAAATGGCGGTGGAAGAGGGTGTGGGAAAGGGAAACAGGCAGTTGGCATCACTCTATGCGAAGCGCACATGAAGGCACTCTACAGAAAACGCCTCGATCTGATGAAGCAAACCAAGGAGCGGCAAAAAATTGCATCGCGACGACACACATATCGTCTTTGTGCATTTGATATAGCCGTCTGAACCAATCACGCATATATAAAAAAAGCGCGTGATCACGCCGCATTCACTGTGACTGATTGGTTCAGCCGTGATGGTTCCCCTTTTGCACTGCTTGATTACCTCCATCAGATCGTAAGGTTAGCTGCGGTCGGACTTTATACGAAACGGAGGAAATAGGTACGCACAAAAGACACGAAAATAGGTTATGATTGGAATGGCGTGCACAGGTCGAACTGTACAGAGGATAAAACAGTTTTTGCAAATTAACAATAGATATAGGGGCGAGTGGGAAGGAATGTGAGACGTGGGAGGAGTGAACGCATCTCTTCAGTGAATAGTACCCAAAAGTTGACGAACTGCTAGATTGATGAGGCCTCGGTAGCGGTACATTCAACTTTATAATGACGTACACCCGCCGGGCAATATAAAGGTGAACAGATTGCCTGGTTTTTTGCCTGTTTTACAGCTCCCTAAATCTATATTAACTCTCTACGTCTCAAATGGTGCGTGGCTTGGGGTCTAAACTTTGCGTTCTAGCCCTCTTCTGGAACAGAGCTTGTTCCAAAACTTGCAGGAGCGTCAAAAACAAGAAGGAAGCTGTTCACCTTCATATCGCTCACGGGTGTACCTGCTTCACGTGGTGTACACGATTTGCGTCAGTGGTTGTCACTTCGGTGTACTCAAAAGTAAGCAGCACACGTTCGTTTTGCTCGATTCTTGAACAAAACGGTTTAGCCAACGGTTGTAGTGAACTAACATTGAAAGGATCTAAATCAATAAGTTGCTTTTAGCCACTGCTATTTTAAGCTTAACACGTCGTGTGCAAGGCATTTTTGGGGGGAATGGTACAGCGAGAATGGTGGGAGGATCGGGACAGCATCTCAGTCCTTCCTTTATAATGGTTGGTGCTCTGACTGGTAGGTCAACACTAAGGTCAACCTGTAATAATGGTGATTAATATAATTTTAGCTGATATCCCATTTAGCCCACCAATTATTTGTTTTGTGTCAAACTGTTACCGTACTCTTAATCCCCGGTCCAAAACCACAGACATCCGGAGTAAAAACGACGACTGGAATCGGGCTTCATGTCTGGTGAAGACACGTCTGCCTATAATATTATTCATTTGCACAATTTTTACCGCAATCTTGCATGCTCAGATTCCTCCTTGGGGAGAGGGTGGAATGAGACTCGTTTTTATGCCTGCAATTTTCTTTTTGTAATTTCTAGAAAAATTAGGACCATTCACGCTTCATTTAGGACCATTTAACTTGCTTATATGTGCCCATTAAACTACACAAAAAGATATTGTGTAAAAACTTTCATATTCCTACCCGCACTCCCCTACATTTTTTTAAAATTCGACAGTATTTTTTTTGTTCATTCCATTAATTTATCTTGTAATAGAAGACACTTGCTGGAAGTGCTTTATACTTCGGTTCAGCCTACAAGTCCCGACGCACCCGACGCTACGAGGCAATAGGAAGCAGCGTTAAAAGCGTTAAGCCTCTTTCACATGCAGCGACTGTGCGAAAAAAAAAAAAAAATTGGTGCGACAGCCGACGCAGCGAGTGCGATCGCAATGTTTCGTTTCACATGCTCCAACAACCGCGCGATTTCTGTCGGAGCGGCCGAAGCTTCAGACACGGACGCGACGCGTTTGACTTTGTCTAAAATACAACAAACACGTCTTAATAAGCACACATGTTTTAGGAATGCAATATGTAACTAGAGATTTCTAATAATTAAGCATTAAACCAGAAGCTTCTGTGTCTACGTTTATTTTCGCGTATGAAAGCTGGCTAAGGAACGGCTGGATGACGAGAAAGCGATCGCACCGACTCTGCGACAAAATACCAGCTTAATGAAAACCAGTCGCAGAGCCGCTGTGACAGTGCGACTGCAATTTTAATCGCACATTTACTGGAAATCGCACCGATTTCGGGCGAGAATCGCAGCATGTGAAACAGTCTTTAGTAACTAAGCGGAATCTGTTTCTGGTTGGTTCAGCGATAACAGAACACGTAGAGGAGCATGGCGAACACCATGATGGCGCACTTTTGACGCTATGTGATTGGTCCGATCAGCTCATAGCATCGTCTGCGTCTTGACTTATAAGGTGAAACGAAATATAGTCGTCTTCACAATGCCTCGCAAGTAAAAGGAGCGGAGTGAAAAGGACATCACTAAACAGGAAGCGGCGACCCGCTGAAACTCAGCGTATTCGTCGTGCCAATCAGACGCCAGAAAAATAAAAAAAATAAAAAAGAGAACGGCATTTGGTTTGAAACAGAAAAGCAAGGTGAGTTCGTTTTGCTATTGATTAGGGGCTGAGTGAGGGAACGAGTTTCGTCTCGTTTTAACCAGCGGAATATCATCTGTGGTATTTTATTTTCCTTTCTGTAAACCAGGTGGCTCCTGATCATGTATATATTCAGTAGCAGGATAATTCCTTGTTTTTCCTTCTGCAATAGTCTGACTGAGAGAACGACGGGAGTGGACGAGTTTTCGCAGCGCTCTGCCACCCTCGGTTGCTACAGACCCATGGTAGGCAGTGGGTCTGTAGTGTTTCGTTTAAGCCTACAAGTGCCTTCCATCCAGGGTTCGGGGTTGTTCTAACCCGTTCCCTTAATGGTGCCCTGGATACCTCTGAACAACAGAAGCCCGCTGCAGTAGCAAGTCACGGAGGACCATTGCTTACCTGCCCCCGCGCCCACAAGAAGGAAAGCGTCAACATCAATTGGTTCACCATGAACCAAGGAAACGGAAGCCTCATGGGAACTTCTCAAGGGTTAAGACGCGGCCCTTCTTCTCACTTCCGAACACGGGTCAATCACCTATCGTTCTCGCATTTAACTCACCAGAAAAGCAACTCTTCCTTGAGTGTCAGAGATCGTAAGCTGCGTTTTGAGAGTATCTCACCAAGAAAGAATACGTGAATAGCATTATCGCCAAAAAAAAAAACAAAAAAAAAACAACAACAATTCCACACCCGGTTTTAACGAAAAAACAGAAACTGACCCAGCGGCTCCCGCCCAGTTACAGTGTAATCAGCCTAATGGCGTGCCGCCTCCTTCCGTCGCGATGGAGAAGAATGACAGAGACGGAGAATGCCCATGGCGAATAGTACAGCCCCGAAAATGACCCCACCCGCTCGAACTGACGAGTATGCAGCTATCTGTCGACAAAACAGCGTACATGATAATCGCGAACCGCCGGGGTTTCACACGTAATGTAAAAGCTAATTTAAACTTTTCGCAATGGGGTGCCACTCGAACGGCAGGAAAGCATCAACACCCTAGCTATCGATCAGGATGGTGGGGCTCAGAGCTGGCTTCGCTTCGCTTGGCTTCTCGTAAAGCTCAATGGAAACACGGTCGACATCCCACCACCAAAACTTGGGGAGCACAGGAGAACATTTTAATACAGGTCCAGACGGTCCTGGTTTCTAAGGCAGTACACGGCTACGACTGTCTTAAGCTCGCCCCCTCCCAAAAAGCCCAAATAGAAGTTCTTAATTGGTCGGCCATGATAACTTCCACCGGCCTCCCGGGCATTACTGCAATCGAACAGCTTCATTAGGTCACTCAAATTAACACAGACCGCGAAATTCCGCTTGAGTCAGCGGCTTCGTATCCGCGGAACCATGGCCGGACTCAGACTTGTACACGTTACTAAAATAAGTAAGGAATTACATTTACAATTACTTGTGGCTAAATGTAACTGATTATAGTTACAATTGCACTCCCATAAAAGTAAGTGACCGTTACTTCAACAAGTAAACCGTAACGAATTACTTTCTGAAGTAACCTTACTGTCCTAGGGTAAGAAACAAGACACAAGTGTTACGGAAGCGTTTATTGTTGCCGCAGCTCACACTTTTGGGACCTTGAGGAACATCTGGCTCTCAGAAGGTCTCATCGGACGTCTTGCCTCGTCTCTACGTGAAGATGTCGTCCGCTGCACTAAGCACCTTTTCAGTCCACCTTTTTCCAAATAGGTGCTGCCACCTGGACGCGCGAGTGATTGACTAGAAAACAACGCGTTCGCAAGACCTCCCCTACCCGCTCGACACCCAAAACGTCAGCTAGAT